GAAAAAGAAAAACTCTCCACAACGATCCCAACGAGCACCTGAAACGAGGCATAGAGTCCATCAAAGATCACTCAACCCGAAACCAGGAAAGTATAACCGATTCGCGCAGGTCCAACTTTGCAGTTAAAGACATGGCTCAGACCTACCAGCGCGGTTTTAGCGCGGTAGCTGCGACTAAAACAGCCACCTCAAAGCTGACCTCCCAGATTGCCTCCAATGTGGACCACGAGACGCTGCGCTTCCTCTTGGAAGCCCCGCAAATCAGAGGAGAGAAAGTCAACATCAAAGTCAGAAACATCAAGGACAATACTGATGAAGAAGTAACAGCGTGGGCATATCCGAAAGACAAGCCGACACGAAGACGACCTACGAGAAGCATGCGCTCATTTTCTCCTCCAACGCCGGAGCAAGACTCTCACCCGTTGAAAAGAGGAAGTGGATAGTGAAAACCATTCTGGAACAGGAGAACATAAAAACTGATGCCGACAAGTTCTCCTTGCTCGGCTTGGGCAGAACCATGATGATGGTGGTGTTCAAAGACGCCACTCAAACCACACATTTGCTGGAAAAATGTGAGACTTCGAACTGTCATGGCTCTGTCTGCACCCTGTCACGACGGAAAGCCGAAACAGCACAGCGAGCCGAAATCTCGCCAGCTGCCTCCTACAAGCAGCGATTGATGAGGGAACAGTTCTGGGTACAATTCGACAACATCCCCGCTAGAGGACACCCCCTCATCAAAAACCGCCTAGAAGTGGAATATCCAGCCAACAAGATACTGAAGTGGGTCCTTCCCAAGCCCGATTTCTTGACTCCCCATTGTCATTCAGTCACAGCTATCTGGGAGGTACTCACCGATGACCCGCCGATCTTCCCAGAAGAGTGGCAATGTATCATTGGAGACAAACTCACGGCGGTAACAGTCTCAACCAAAGCGTCCCCAATCTGCTTTAGATACAAAGCCAGGGGCCATCTGGGATCGGATCCCAAATGCCCGTGCTCTACTGAACAGAAAAAAATTAAGGCAGAACATTAGTAGAGGTGGAAGAAGCTAAAGGAATCTGGTTCATCAACAACTCAGACTACGACGGCTGGGTCTTCGACGATAACATCCCAGATCCCAAATGGGTCTGGACCTATACTAACACCTCCCCATCGGTCAAAGAGCCAGACATCTTCCCTCCTTCAAAGAGCAAATGGCACCACGTGGGGGCAAAGAGGATCACCGGAATCCCAGGGAAAATCCACTCGGACCCGGTGATAGACTCCCCGCGGATCAAGGAAGAAAAGAAGCATGACGACTTGATGTGGGATCTGGAATCAATCAGACAGCAAACAACTGCCTCTCTCCAATCCAGAGGACTACAACAACATCCTGGACACAGCCAAACAGATCATTGAGGGACGAAGCCCGCAGGCTGATCCCTCCCTCAAGAGAGGCCTCACCCCAAAAGACCAACGACGACGAACCCAGCGGGAATTAAAAAAGGAATGGCAGCACGCCTGCAGAGGGTAGCAAACCCTCTGAAAACCAGAACCCACAGGCCTCCTCAAAGGGCCCGGATCATTCAGACCAGGATCTAACCCAGCAAGGAATGGACATATCTCCCACGAAAAAAGAGAAGGCGGAGAACTCAAAAGGAAAGGGAGACTCTCCCACCTCGTGGCTGCAAGAATATCTTGAAAGAGCCAAAAACGAGAGAGAAAAAGAATTCGACATCCGCGTGGCATGCATGAAACACCAAGAGAAGACAGGCAGAAACAACAAGACTATAGTAGCAGGGATCCACACTTCGAAGAATCAATACCACATCCTGAGACAACAGAGCGAGCTATCGGAGTTCAGTGCTTTCTGCTACCACGAGAAGAAGAGGGAAAGAGAAGCCTCAGGTTATGAAATGGAATCCAGCACTGACACACAGTCCCACAAGGACAAAATCAGAGACATGGTACCAAAAAACTGGAAGCCTTTGAAGGGCAGAGACAAGAGGCCCAGGAAATCTCAAGCTGACACAATCTCAAGCTGACACCTCGGAAAAAGGCAGTGAGCAGCGATCCATCAAACGGGAGGTAGCCATTGTCGCTGCTCAGACAAAATGCCTGTTCGATCAGAATGAGTTCCGCCAAAAACAAAGCAAAGAGTACTGCACAATCTGAAATGTCACGGAGAGCAGGGCTCCCCATGTCACTCAGAAAGCAGCATCGGACCGCAAAACAATCAGGAGAACAGGGCTCATATAAGAAGGGCGACAAGGAGGAACTCAGGAATGACAGCCCAATCTCACTTCTCACAACGCCATACAAAATCCTAGCAAAGGCATTAGCAAATAGAATCATAAAACTAACAAACAAATGTCAGAAGCATAAAACTAACAAACAAATGCTTTCACATCGACCAAGCAGGATTCATTCCGGGTCGATATATTTTGGATA